AGTTTAATCTACAACAATGCATCATGTTGTAAAAGACCATATTTTTTGTAGTGTGTCCTGTGAGAAAAAAAAGAAAACTTAATACTTCATATTTGTACGAGAATACTTAACGAATGTACTTCCTTACAGTCCACCTCAGACTATTTTGAAAATGAAAGTAACAAATTTTTGCTAACTATATCAAAGGCTGCATCTGAAGGACTCGGATGGGTCAAACAGAGCACTGTTCAGCTGTGACAGCTGCCGCTGAATATTGAGCTGTACAATGCCTTATTTTTTTTTTTATTCACAGTTTTATTTTTATGCTTAACTGCCTAAAAAATCCAGGTTGCAAACCTGTCTACATATGATCACCATGGTCAAGACTATAAACTCAATATATATATACAATATATAAAATCGCACCTTTGTAAGATATCTATCAGCATTTGAACTGCTATGTGTGTGTGTGTGTGTGTGTGTTTTCACACCCGGAGCAGTGGGCAGCCATTTTTTTTGCTGCGGCGCCCGGGGAGCAGTTGGGGGTTCGGTGCCTTGCTCAAGGGCACCTCAGTCGTGGTACTGAAGGTGGGAGAGAGCGCTGTACATTCACTCCCCCCACCTACAATCCCTGCCGGTACGAGACTCGAACCCGCAACCTTTGGGTTACGAGTCCGACTCTCTAACCATTAGGCCACGACTTCCCCCGACTTTCATAATTATGAAACACTCTAACAATGTGATGCTAACATAGCCCTCCATTAAATTGATATCTTAAAATAGGTATTGTCTTTTTATTTCCCCCATTATTTTAACACACTGTAGTTTATACTCATCTTAATGAAAACTGAGTGGCATCAAATGCACCTAAATACCATCTCTCCTTCACTTTTTCTTAGGTCCTTACTGTAGGTTCAAGAGGCTTGTCAAGAGACACATCAAGACCCTTCTGCCCTCTACACTGGACCCCTTACAGTTTGCATACCGCCACAAGCGCTCAACAGGCGATCCTATCACCAACACCCTCCACCTAGCTCTCACTCACCTGGACAAAAAAGACACATATGCAAGAATGCTGTTCATAGACTTCAGCTCAGCATTTAACACCATCATTCCTTAGCAAATGATTAGCAATCTGGCCCTGCTGGGCCTGAACACCTCCCTCTGCAACTGGATCCTGGACTTGAGACCTCAGACAGTCTGGATAGGAATCAGCTTCTCCCACACCACTACTCTGAGCACAGGAGCCCCCCAGGGCTCTGTGCTTGGTCCATTGCTGTTCACTCTGCTGACTCACGACTGCACAGCAACGCACAGCTCAAACCATATCATTAAATTTGCGGATGATATGACTGTAGTGAGTCTCATCAGCAAAGGTGACGAGTCAGCATACAGGGAGGAGGTGCATCAGCAATCAGGTGCAAAGTCAACAATCTGTCACTAAATGTGGACAAAACAAAAGAGATGGTTGTTGACTTTAGAAGAGCACACGATATCCACTCTCTGCTGAACATCGATGGCTCAATTCCTTGGTGTTCATCTGGTGGAGAAGCTCACCGGGTCTCTCAACACCAACTACATAGTGAAGAAAGCTCAGCAGCGTCTCTACTTTCTATGAAGGCTGAGGAATTTTCATCTCCAACCCCACATACTCACCACATTTTACAGAGGGACTATCGAGAGCATCCTGAGCAGCTGCATCACTGTCTGGTTCAGGAATTGACCCTTCACAGTGAGTTTGATTGGCAAGCAATCTGACCAATCATAACACTGAATCTGCCATTTTTGTCTGACAAACAAACCAGACAGAGGAAAGTAGATTAACGTTGTTGGCTCTGAATTTAAAAAAAATTATGTGTATTTATTTCTTTCCGCTGTTGAAACAGGATACATTCTGATGTTCATTCATGTTTATTTCATGCTATAACTAGTAAAGGGGAAGAGATGATTGGTTCACATACTGCTTGATCTGTAACGACACATTAAAAAGCCACAAAATGGTATTTATTGTTTGAATTTCTTAAAAATTATAAAATTTTAACGCTCAGACTTTGTTTCATACCTAAGGCTGGCTAAACTTTAGAAGATTTTAAGGCAGATTTTAAGCATGATTTGCACCCCTGAACGATCAGGTTGTGTGGCCTGATTCAAAACATATCGGAAACAATTTTTGTCCAAAAAAATTCCCTATTGTGTGGTGCCATTACGATTATTTTACTGCTGCCGAATGAGATGGAACGTCCCCGAACTCAAATCTTGATCGGGCTTGAACCTTGAATATTCAAAGCACTCTTGATCAGGCTGCCTCTGACGTAATACCCGTGATAGCCAATGAGAGCAAACAAGCGTCACCCACCGGATGTTGCGTGCTACTATAGCTGAAACTTGGCAGCCACAAAAATGCCACGAAAGCAGAATACATCAACCATATTCTTTTTTATTCTTTGTTTTTCCACTGTGAAACAGAACACGCGTCAGGAGAACCAGCTGATAACGTCGCTTGTTCTCCATTTGTTTTTCTTCTCATCACGTTTGATCTCGCGAGTCTCCATGAGATCTCGTGTCACTGTGAAATCATTCCTACAATCAACAAATGTGTGGTCTGGTCGAACTGTCTAGTGTGCGCATTCAGAGGATTACAGTATAAGGCTTAAAATTGGTTAAAACTCTCATTATGTCTGTGGCCTCCCATGGTTTTAAAATCGGTTAAGATTTGAAATAAGTCTAGTGTGTTGCCAGCCTAAAGTAACCTGCTCTGTCTGGTCAGTTTCCTCTTTGCTCCACGGTGTATTTTTTACTGATGTGTTGCATTAGAACGGCATGGCTTGCAAGACATAGCAACAGTAGCGAAGGGGGCCAGGTCTTCGCGAAGGGTCAATTGCACCATCTTAGAATGCAAGATCCTGCAGCGAATAGTGAGGACAGCTGAGAAGATCACTGGGGTCACTCTTCCCATCACTGACATTTACACCACACGCTGTATCTCCAAAGCTATCAGTATTGCAGATGACGCCACACACCCCTTGCACCAACTCTTCACCCTCCTGCCATCAGGCAGAAGGTACAGAAGTATACGTGCCCTCATGGCCAGAATGTGGGACAGTTGTTTTCCCCAAGCCATCAGACTCCTGAACTGTAACCATAATGGGCAATAACTCTACCTGGTCTCATGGCAAAAACGTACCTGGGGGAAATTTTTCGCGAGACGCAAAATACATACCAATAAGTACATATCACTGCAGTTTCCAAAAGAAATTAACACTAGAGGCAGTAAAACTCGGACACCTTTTATTCCTATTCACACAAATATACAGAGTTTTGATTAATAAAGCGTAATTTTCGCACAATATACTTGAAGAATATTATGTTATGACTTCAAAACAATTTTAATATGCTGGGAGATTTGTACGGAGACGTTCTTGAGAGGTGAAGATCTCCGGTTCGAAACCCGTGTAACTGCAGTTTGACAAAACAGTTAAAATCTGCATATAAGGAAGTACAAATGTATTCCAGAATGTGGAAAGGATCAGCCTGGCTACCATCGCTCGAACTCTGAACAAACACAGAATTCGTCTTGTTGGAGAAACAGCTGCCTTTTTATTGTGATCGCAGTATAACCAAAACATTTTGGGCTGATTTAAGTTTTTATATTTTTAACCCTACTAACATGACCCACAATTTTATCCTTAAAGATATCATATTTTATTATGAAAACCCCAAATTATTATTAAAGATACAACCATTTTACCCTGAGCTTGTAAGTTATTAAAAGTTCTGCAGTAATAATAATAAAAAGAAGATAGGTGCACTAACACCTCATAGCATCAGTAACTCCACAACCCTACACTGTAAAAAAAAAATCTGTGACATTTACAGTAAAATACCGGCAGCTGTGGTGTTATGATTGTTCATTGTTAAAGATACAACCATTTTACCCTGAGCTTGTAAGTTATTAAAAGTTCTTCAGTAATAATAATAAAAAGAAGATAGGTGCACTAACACCAGGCAGCTGCTTGAAGATCTTGCCTTTGGAGAAGACTGCTAATATTACACTTGAAAAATGTAAGTATTACTACTTAAAAAATAAGATTACCCCAAAATGCATTGCTAGCCCACCCCAACACTTACAATAATAATAAACGTATTTACAGGCAGTGAATCCACATCTACTGCCATCTCAACACAGTTCTGCAGCTTTATTCTGATGAAGCAGCTGACCACCGTGTCCACCTTCACCTGTC